TAGTCCCTCCGCTTTACACTACATTCAGTCATTCACCCATTCACCCACCCACAGATGAGCATTTATACTCTGTTAATGATTCGTGGTTAAGAGGCTTGACAAAAACATTCTGAAAATAGTCAGGTACAGCCTCAATTCACATTTCACAAGATGTTTGAAATGTTTCTTTAAGCTTCTACTACACTGGGATGAGATTGGTGATTACATCCCTGATGCACACTGATCCTGAAACAAATTAAGGCATTTCTCCACAATCTGCTTCACAGGTGTGATAGTAACAGTCGTAGCATGAGAGTAAATGAAGATGCTACTGGTTGGTATTTATGTAAAATTCATTTCGAGGAATCCTTTGTGTAGCTGAAGCTTCTTCTTCCCCAGTGGCTCTCTGGGACTGGGAAACCCATCTTGATCACTGGCTCCACCACCAGCTCCAACAGGCCAGGAGGCTCTGGCACTCTCAGCTCCGTCACCCTGAACAAATTGGAATACGAGCGACCCACCAGAACCAACTGACCGGGGGGGATGCTGGGATGAGGTCCTCTCAGCTGTCGCCAGTACACCTTGAAGTGACGTACGAGGTTGCCAGGGTAGTCCCAGCGCAGAGTGGCGTTGAGGAGTGAGGTTCCAGCCCCATGCAGCCACACCACGTCATCAATGCACACACCTTGAATCCTGTCTGGGGGCACCTGCAGGCTAGCTACATCTAAGACCTTGTAGAAAGAGACAAATAAGAAACATGCTAGAACTCGATTTAAGTTCAAATTTTGAATAGATTACGTCTCAAAGAAAACTGGTAACCTTACTGCTGACATTGTGATAGTTGGCAAAAAACCTCTTTCCATCATTTCTTTGTCTGTCTTGAAACCTGTTCATTTAATCTGCTTCAAACTTGGAGAGTGTATTCTCCCAGTTTAATCTCAAGTGGACTGGAATAAACATATTTATCAGTAACTTTACATTTGTCTTCATGTCATGTGTGGCTAATAAAATGTGTACCAAATACCACAAAATAACCCCACACAAGCCCAGTGTGTAGGGCTTATTTTTTGTTGTTTGCCTTATGCTTTTATTTTGTTGTACTAATGTAAGGTGACCTTAAAGGTCTTTAAAGGTGCCTATAAATAAAATGTATTCTCATTATTATTTATGGATCCAAGCTTACATTCTAATCTCTAACAGCAGGCACAGAGTAATACATCGAGGAGTACTTGCTCCCACTGTCTCACCATGAGTTCTCCCAGCCTGCAGCTGAAAGGCCTGTCCTCAGGCTGTCCGATGCGTTCGATCTTCACACAAACTTCTCGAAGAGTGCAGCCGTGAAGCTCCAGCTGTGAACACCTGCTCACAAACATGGGGAAAAAAATAAGTCCAAGAACTTCAACTCTTTGGAGAAATTAAAATCACTCAACTGTTAGCGCTCCACACACCTCATGGTCCAACCATTGTGGTTCAAGTTTCCACATAGCTGAGTGAACTTGTTCACTAACTGGTGCTCGTCATCCAGTACTTCAGGGGATACACTGTTAACTATAGACACACAAAAACACCCAACAACGACTCGGCTTGCTGTGTGATTTGGAGGCAGGATCACAAACCTTCAATAAATGATGAAGTATCAGCAACTGTGTGAAACTAAAGCCCCTAAGTCTGACGAACAGCACTATGTAATAAATTGAGACATTAATAGTAACGTGAGAATGAAGGGCACTTTTTAAAAAAAATAAATATTAATTTCCAAAGGAGAATTTTTATATATACACTGCAAACACCTGTTCACAATATATATATACACACACTATGAACTGGTGCCTTTTATAGCACCAGTTCACCTCAGCACACTGTTTTTAAGGCCTGTTGATCAGCATCTTGGAGAACTTTCCACAGTTCTTCTGTGGATTTAAAATGTCTCAGTATCTTCTGTCTCCTCGTGCAATCCCGGACATAATCCCCGATGTTCAGATCAGGGCTCTGTGGGGGCCACACCATCTGTTGCCGGGCTCTTTGTTCTTCTTAAAATAAGATAACAAATATTTTATTTATCCCAGTGTTAGATTTTTTTAATAGCAGTTAAAAATTAAGTTAAACAAACGTACTAAATGGCCTAAATCATGAGGATACTCCTT